TTATTATATTTTATTTAAAATCCTTACTAATAGGATCAAACCTTTTTATGATAAGTTTATCTCTTTTGAGCAATTATCCTTTATATGGGTCATACTATTTATAATTATATTTTAGTTGCTTAAGAATTAACTCATTCACTTTATAACTCTAAAGGGAAAAACCCTCTTATGTTGATTAAATTAGATTTTGGAAAAGCCTACGTTCACCTTAATAAGATTGTGGGTGTTTTCACCTTTTCCCATAAATTTATGGATTGGGTCATGGAATGTGTCTATTTTCCTTTCTTTACTTGTTGCATCAATGATAAGTATTCCTCTTATTTTAAAGATGAAATGGGTGTTAGGCAAAGGGATTCTCTATCCCTTTATATATATATTTTGGTTATTTAGCTTCTTTCAACTTTGTTAAACTAGGCTATCTATAATGGTAATCTCACTCTTTTTTATTTTAGATATAAATTTAAGTTGACTCACTTAACATTCATTGATGACATTATCTTGTACTTTAAGTTTAATAAAAAATTCTGTCATACCATTGCTAAGTTATTCAACCATTATGAAGTCTTAACCAATCAAAAAAATATTTGATTATTCAATCATGAGGACTATTGCTAAGTTGTTCAATCATGGGGATAATCATGGAGCTAATAAAAAATTATATCATACCATTACTAAGTTATTCAATCATGGGGACTATGATTTATCCTCATGGAATGTATGAGGATATATTTGATTGTTTCAATAATCAAATCTCTAGCAAATTAAGTAGATAAAATGACTTTTCTTAAGTTTATATAATTACCTTCGTAAAGTTTATTTATTTTTAATACTACTCCTATGTATTCTCTAAATATCTTGTAGATATTTTAAGCTATCATGAGAGGTATTAAAAGAACCGTTAGGAACTTCCTTTAAAATTTGATTCTAGGTATACACTTGATTTCATAGAAAATCATTACTAAAACTAAATCAAAATAGGGTTTAAATATTGGTAACCTTAATATTACTATATCTTCTCTTCAAGTAAAATGCATAGAGTTGTTTCTAAATTATGTTCCTGGCCTTTGGACTAATGTAGTCATTGTCAAATACAATTATTATAATCCCTAGGACTCTCTCCCTTCTTCTTCAGGTTGTAGCTAGTCTTGAAAATTTTTTATTAGTCCTATGAACAATTTGGGATCAGATTTTTCTCCTACGATGAAAAATGGTGATTCAAACAGTTTAGACTCTCTCCCTCGTATTTTTGAGTTGCCTATCAAAAATAAGTTTACTTTTGTTAACTCTTTTGTTATTCTTGATGAATATAAAGTATCATCTTTTATTTCAAATAAGATCTTTCCTAATGATAATCATCCGTTTTGGAACATTAATCTTAAAGGACAATGCTTTCTTTCCCAAATAACCTCGATAATAATTTAATCATATGAAAAACTCTTTAGAATATTCTTACCTTACCTCATGTAATTTTATGTTGTTGGAATCTTTTACATCATAAACTTAACACTTTAGAAAAATCGGCTAGATTCAACATTTGTACTCCTCCTCCTCTTGATTGGTCCTGACAACCAACAACATATCTTCCGTAGGTGTTCTAACACCCCTTCAAGTGTGAGAATTTTTCTGACAAAAGCTGCACATCCAAATTTCTTACTTCTCTAGGGGTGAGGGTAATCAGCTAAGATAGGGGATAGCTTCCTCCTCCTCCTCTTCTTCGAACCCACATATGAGAATTCTAATTGCCTATAGCTTTTGGATGATACGAATGATCACGAATGATTTAGGATCCAAAAACTCTAAATGCAACACCTTCAGTATTGCTTTTAGAGTTGTTGCTTATCTCTATGATAGCTTTTTATTAGACTAGCCTTTACGGATTGTTAGAGAGAGATGCATTGTTCAAATGAAGTGGACAAGATCAAATGAAGGATGAATGAAGGATGAACAAAGCTAAATGTTGATGGTGCATTTGAGGTCGAGACTGAACTTGGAGAGGCTAGATTTATGCTTCGATCCAATAAAGTTGCAGTCCTGATTATTCGCTATAAGTTTCTTCAAGGGAGAAGCTGCTAGGTCAATGAACTTATAGCCATGAAGGATGGTGTTCAAGCTTTCATTCATTTGGGTGTAACCAAGTTCTTTATAGAGATAGATATTGAATGAATGGATTGTACATGTTTTGAAAGAGGAACCTCCTCTTTCACTTTTGACAAATCCCATTATGGATCTTTTTGATGCCCTCAAGGTTTATGTAGAGTGGATGGTGAGTCATATTTTTAGAGATGGCAACAAATGTGCCCATTGGCTAGCTAGTCATACTAAGATGTCCAGAGATGATCATGTTTTGACTTCAGATTTAGATCCAAAATTCTACCACTTGGAGGAGGGGATACCTTGTAATAGGTTTTTGAAGTAATATATTATTAATTATTTAAAAAATTTATTACAATAATATCTCACCTTTATTTTTCCTTCCCTCTCGTAATAGTTGATTATTGGTCCTGCATTAAGAATCGATCCAATGAATAAAAAAATAAATTATAAAATATAATAATTTAAAAATAATTTAAAATATATTATAAAATTAATAAAATTTTGAAAGGTAGACCCAACCTTTGATATATTATAAGATTAACAATTTCAAATCGAGTCAGAACTAGAACCTTAGTAGTTCGTCCACTCCAAACCAAATCAGAATAGGATGTTTCGTTCCGTTTCATGATTTTGAAATATTATAAATTAAAAAAATGATAGTAACGAATAATTTTATAATTACATTAATTTAATATTATTTTTTATTCATTAGGCTTATTACATGTATTGAAAGTTTACTAAACTTTTTAAAGTGGCACTATAATCAAAACTTGAAAATAAAATTATAATTTTATAATTTTAGCTTATTTTTAATTTAAAATTAAAAATAAAAAAGAACCAATGATTTGAATCGACCTTGTTTGACTTGGTTCCGATTTTCCAAAATAATAAACGAGAATTATTAGTTTTAGAATCATAATCATGGCTAGTAGAAGGTATAAAAATATATAATATAAGTCATTTTAAATAATATTTGAATATTTATAAATATAAAAATTATTTTAATTCTATAACAATATATAAAGTTATAAAATTCTTTTGAAAGGCATTTTTTATAACCATTATTTTTAGTGTAGTTGTCATTTTAAATTAAAGAAATAATGTCAGCTTTTTTCGAATTTTTTAGTTCATTTTTAAGGTCGTTTTAATATTTTAAAATATTATATGTTGATATATTGTAATAAAACAATATTACAAGACATACATATCTTAATTTTATGTTTATATATATATATATATATATATATATATATATATATATATCACATTAGTTTATATATTTTTACATTTTATATTAAAATTTAAATATTATTTCTTAAATTTATATTTTAAATTATTTTAAAATTTATCTAATTAAAAATTTTATAAATGGTTGGAATTCGAATAGATCCAAAACTTATCGAATCAAAACAAACTGAGTATAGAAAAAATAAAATAAAATTCGAAAAAACTACTAGTAAAAGACTCCTCAAAGTTTTGTGGTATAAAATTGAAAAAGTAAAAATAGTTTTATGGGACATATTTTAATATCTTATACTCATGAAAAAATATATAAAATAATTACATTATGAAAAATAAGGAATAATAAAATCTTATTCCTTTTTGAAATAATATTATTCTAGACATTCTAAATAAACAATAGGTAGGACATAAGCTATGGCTCTTAGAATCATATAGTTGATTGTTCCCCCCATAAGCCATAGTTTCAGTACATAAATGATTTATAATTCAAAACCAATATCTACCCAAAAATTTAAGGAAAATATATGATCGTCCATCCATATTAGAATCATATTATTATCAATTTCCATATATCTTTATTATCAATTTCTATAGAACCAATAATTATAAGCCAACGAGGATGAGATTAGATCATTAGAACTTGCTATTAGATAGTCAAAATTTTAATCGACTAAGTTAATTGTCATCCTGAAAAATATAATACATCAAAAGTGTTTCTTGATTCTATTTATTATCCTACGTAAAGTTAGACATCTTATGCCAAAAAAAGTTCAAGTTGCGGATATATAGATGTTATGATCATTACCTATGGTTTGTCCATCACCAATTCATTTTTACGAACCCAACGTGACAATACTTCATGGCTTTCAGAAAATGTCTCTCGTGCAAGTTAATTTTAGGTGAATAATTCAATGTTAAATCACCTACCGTATATATGACGTATTTTTCGTATATGATATGATTAAACTTGGTCGTTTGATTGTTAGAATAATGGTGTTAAAGTTTTAATTGATATTTATGTTGTTATATATATAAACCTTTTTGTATTGGTAACTTTCATATTTATCAACTCTGAATTTTAGGTTAGGAAAAAAATAAATAATATATGTGTGATGAATTTTTTATATTCGATGATCGCAATCTTGAGTTCCAATCTCATTTTCGTCACTTATCTTTTGTAAGAAAAATAATAGATGAAAAAAAATAAATATTTAAACTAATATATGTCTAATATCTAAATATTTGAAAAAAATATCATTGGTAGATATTTTATTTTAGAAACATTAAGAGCAAACGTTGGAAAGTTTTATGGTGCTTCATTTTACATATATATATATATATATATATATATATATATATATATTCATTTGCCTTTTCCGTGTGTAGTTCTAAATAATGGAAAGTTTTATGGTGCGTCATTTGCCTTCTCGGCGCGTAATTCCGAAAAATGAATAGGTATAACGCGCGGACCCTACCCTCAAACGAGGGGGGCCCACGTGGACCCCATCCAAATTTGAACCACGCGCCTCGCCGCTAAGAGGTGCTGACGCCACGGTATCTGCTCCGGGTCGGAGTACGTGCGTGCGGAAAACATTGCTGCTTTACAAAAAGTATTACGCAATAAATAAATACATGGAGGCGACGCCGCTGCCTTCGGAAGCGATTCAAAGCCAAAGCCAAAGCCAAAGCCTCGGGACTCACACCCATCCCACCCTCCTCCGTCTCCGGCGATCCCACCCGCCGGAGACTGCCGCCGCCGCCGCGTCAACCGTAGTCGGAAGTTGGTGATCTCCCACCAGAGATGCCGCCCGCGATGGTAGACTTTGGGTCCCGCCCCGCGCCTTCCTCCCCTCTTCGAAACCCTAGTAAAGGTGAGATCTCCGCTTCCGGTTCTCCTTCATTCCATCTCCGCAGCGGCATTCCTTCCTCCGGCGGCTCCAATTCAAGTTCCGTGTTTGGTTTTCCGCATCGGAGTGTCCTAGGGCAACAGCCCCCTGCTTCGAGGGGATTAAAGAACGCTGATTTTGTTGGAAAATTCGCTGCCCCAGTTCCTCCTGTACCTTTCCCTCCAATCCACCCCGTTCCAGTTCCGGGGAGGCCATTGTCGGCTGCGGGGCTCTCAAAACCTCGACTTGTGAAGGTGAGGAAGCATCTGGCCTCGCCTCGGGTGAGGTCGGCAGCGACTACGAACGCCAATGATGGCTCTGGGTTCAATCCATTCCATTCCGGCCCGGTCGGCATGGAGTCGGATATTTCTGGGCGGCATCAGAGGGACGGAGTTCAGGGGCTTGACGAGAAGTTTCATGGACGGAATCCATTGGAATCTGAGGCAGGTTCAAAGATTCCAGAACATTCAAGTTCAGGTAGTTTAAAGTCTGCAAAACCTGGGAGTGCTGGTTTTGTTATGAGTGACGGGGGAGCTTTTGTCTTTGGAAGCAGTGAAAAGAAAGGTTCAAATTTGGGTCGGAGCAAAGGAAAAAAATTTGTCAAGTCTGAGAACACTGGTTATGGGTCGGACAACAGTATGAAAAATGTAGCGTCTGCAAATGTGGTGGAGGAAACATTTAGCTTCAGTCGTTTCTCAAATAGAAGTTCTGACGATGGTTTATATGTGTTCGGTAGTGGTATGAAGAATTTTTCTTCAGAACAAGGCCCTCCAGTGGACCTGAGTGATCAGAATGTCAGGAATCTTGCATCTATTAAGTCCCAAAGTGATGGTTTTGCCTTTGGCACCACTTCTGTAATGAACCTAGGCAAAGAAGATGATGGATCCGGTAATAAACCAGTCCATAAACCTCATTCTGATGCTTGTATCTTTCAAAGTGATCTGAAGCAAAGTTCAAATTCTTGTGAAAATTCATCAGAAAATTTAAGCGGTAGGAATAATGGCATCTTTGAGTTTGGGAAGTCGGAAAGTGCTGCTTTTGTCTTTGGTACAGATTCTGTGTTGCTTTCTGGTGTGAAAAATATTGGTTCCAGTAGCATCCATGGAGGTCCGTCTAGCTTTGTTGACGGGAATACAGGTAGGGGTATATTTTCTAGTGAGGGTGTTCAGAGCAAAAGTGATAATTCAAGTGGGAATGAGGATTCGAGATTGAAAAATTCTGGATCTATCAGGTCTGAATGTTATTTCTTTGGTGCAAGCATATCCAGCAATTTTGGTAGCAAAGACAATGGTACCAAGGATGTGATAAATAATGTTATTAGTGAAGGTGGTAGGGAACCCAATGTAGGTTCTTCTGTATGTGGAAATGCCACAAGTTTAAATTCTAATTTGGGCCAGGAATCATTTATCGCTTTGGATGTGGGCACAGTCTCAAGGCTTCACGTCGAAATGAGGAAGTTGAACTTGCAGAGACCTGATAATGAGGTTGAGCCAGAGAAGGCAAAGCAAGCTGATTGCAGGGCTAAGATTAATGAGGGTAATACTTTTGTTTTTGGTAGAAGCCAGAGTTACCTGAATTCCTCTGGTGCTACTGACTGTTCCAAGCTCAGGGAAGCAGGTACACCTTTTGTTTCATCATTATCTGGCCATGATACTCAGTCTGTTGCTACTGGCTTAAATTTTGCACGTGTATGTGAAGAACAGAAGTTACCACACATGGAATTTACAACACCTATACATGTTACTCCTATGTTGTCAAAGGAGAGCTTATTTACTGGACCTCATCAAAATAAGGAATTTAATGTGAAGCGAGAATCTAGAACTACAAGAAAGAAAAGGAGAGAGAAATCTAGACAATCTGTTCCACTGCACAAGGACTTTTCTAAAACATTTGACTCAGTGGAAAAAGTTGTTGAAACTGTGGAAAAGTTCTCTTCTGGTGGTTACTCACCAATGGATTATTCTCCTTATGACGAGATATCTGATGAATCCCGCCATATTTTTTCCTCCTGTGAGTCAATTGGTACAAAAGAATCTGTTCCTGTAGGTGAAAGAAAAGAAGATCCTGTTTCTGCAACACAGCACTTGTATATTAATAAAGATGGTGTAACACTTAGAGAACATGAAAATAGTGGTTCTAGAGATTATATTGAGAGGGATTCTGTTGACAAGTCTTCGTTTATAGGCGAACAAATTACGGAAAATGGTAGAGAAAAATATTTTTTCAAATCTGACAACATGGATCGTACTTTGACCAGCAACGCTGCTGGAATGAAAGCAGAAACTGAATCCTGTAGTTCAAATTTTGAGCCACAAGCTAATGAGAATGAAAACTGCTTTAATCTTAACTCCAGCTTAGAAAGTTTTCCTGGCTCTGATTTTACCTTTGGTGAATTAGCTTTTAATCAAGGTCTGTTATCAGCGGAAAAACGTCAACACAGAAAGAAAAGTAGGATGAGAAGTTCCAAAAACTTGAATAATTCAATCCCGAAGGTCAGTGTTCCGATGGTTCCCCCTTCTGAGAATTTGTTACCAGATGCCAATTCTGTGCAACCTGTTGCTGAAAGAGACTTCAAGGGCAAGCTATCTGTTCCTCAAAATGGGGATGATGTCGTAGCTGAGAGACAGAAAAAATTGGAAAAGAGAAAAGATCCCATATCCACAGTTGGAGCAACTGCCACTGAGCAGGAAGTCTGTAACCAGTGGCGTCTCAGGTACCTTTTTATGCATTGGTTTGATTTGTTCACTTATTGAACTACATTCATTCTGATTTGGCCTTTTGTCGGTAAGAGTAGCACTTGCAACATCTCATCTGTTCATTGATAACTTATAAAGATTGACACATATAGTCTCAGATGCTTGAGCCCAGTCAGTTTACATTTTTGGCATTGCTTTTGACATTGACTTACTTATGTTCATAAGGGGCAACCAAGCATATTCAAATGGGGACATGTCAAAAGCTGAGAATTTTTATACTCGAGGGTTGAATTCCATCTCTATAACGGAAGTTTCTAGAAGCGACAATAAGGCATTAATGCTGTGTTACAGCAACCGTGCAGCTGCACGAATGTCTCTTGGAAGAATGAGAGAAGCACTTTCTGACTGTATGATGGCTGCTAAAATTGACCCCAGCTTTCTCAGGGCTCAAGTTAGGGCTGCATGGTATGGTTCTTCACCTCTCATGGTTGACTTGAGCATGATATTACTGCACGTTCTTATTCTAAATTATGTTGTATCAGCATAGAATGCAAATTTTGGTGTAATGAGAACATTAAGTTATTGAGATATAGAGAATGAGCCTAACCTAATGGTTGACATTCTTGGTTAAATTTGTTCTGTGTAACATTGAGGGCAGGCATTCTAGCTTGCCTTTATGATCAAAGTAGTGATAGGATGGCTGTCTGTGAGTTTCACTTTAGTTATTTATGAGGTCTAAATTAGCAAGGTTTATGAATATCAAATATATATTTATGGATTGTAAAGATAGTAATACCTGGATGTTCTTTGTTTATCAAACTTTGAGTAATGATGCTTTGACCTGCTGCTCCATTGGTTACAAAATAAATGTAATCTACATTCATATATTTTGAGGTCTTAGTATAGGATTATTAATATTAAAATTTTGTAGCATCATAGCATATTAAAAAAACATAATAAAATTTTAAGCTCTTAGCATAGAATTGCTAAAATATAATAAAAATTCTTTCTAATTGTAACACTCTAGCATGAAGCTGGCCTAAGTGGAATATGATATTTCACATGTTTCTTGTAAAGTTTTGTTGCATAATTGTTCTTTTTCCCTTATTATTTTTTTTCTGACTAAAATTTATGATATATTATCATTATCAATTTGATTGTTAATGTGCATCATATGTTCCGTGTTCTTTCTAGCTCTATGCTAGTACTCAATTTTTTGTATGGCCCTAGAGATACTCTGTAGAGGCCAACAGAGTTGGTCCTGTACTAGGTTACAATGACAATATGAATCCCCACTAAAAACCTACAACTGGCTTATGCTATTTGCTGATTCGATCATGCGTTGGAAAAGAGATTTTAAGGTATGCTATCGTTCAGATAACTATGTAAAATAAGTATAACAAAGGTTTTCAATAATCAATATTGGGTATGGGACCCATGCACGTCGATGGTTGGACTGGTTCAAGTTTGTTCCGACATACTACGGTACAATATGCTGGAATGAACCAGGGTACAAAGAAAGGAGTTAGGTGGAGGGGCTGGTTCGACATTATACCAAAATATGATATACCAGAATGTACCAAGGTACAAAGAAAGGGGTTGGGTTGGGGTGGGGAGGGAGAGGAGTAGCCGAAGAAGAAGAAGAGGGGTAGAGTCAGTGAAGTACAAGGAGGCTGTGACAGAGGAGGCTGAGGAGTCCCATCGGCATGTGACACAGGTAGCGAGAGGTGCACGAGGGAAGGGGGGGTGGGTTTTAGGGTTGTACAACATGTGGACCATGATGGTCCACGTGTTGGTTCATGCTTGGACTGGTAAATACTGATCGGTCTGTACCAGTGCGGATTTAATTGCATGTATACAAACATTACAAAGGAAAGTTTCTGGAAAAATGTGGTCAAGGGAGATTTAAAGTTATAAGGCATTCAAACAATCAAATTAAGTTATATGGCATTATAAAGGAAAGCTTCTGGCAAAATGTGGTCAAGGGAGGTTTAAAGTTAGAAGGCATTCAAACAATCAAACTAAGATTGACACTTCATTTTTTTCATTTCACCGGTTTGCAGCCCACATGTCCATCTAGGAGATTAGTTGCCAGCACGTCTCTTTCAACCTTTATTACATGAAACACTATCATGCAGCTACTTCATCTTTGCTGAAGCTTGAAACTGCCTGCTGCAGCTGTTTCATTCACGCTTTAGAGCATGTTCCTTGAGAATCAAATTAGTTCTGAAACTGACCAATAATGATAAATTGAATTGGATCACACTGACTCTGGCCCAACTCAGGTGGACCTACTTTTGGGATCCGTAAAGGTCCATCCGTTCCTCTATTAGGATAACAATGAGCTGGAACCCTCTACTAGTATGTGCCCAACCTTCATGCAAAGCACTTAAAGTCCAGTGGAGTGGATGCAGTGTCAAGTGAATCAAATTCAAAGAGATTATGGTTTATTGGCCAGTTTATGTTAAAAATGGCCAGAAAATTAGTTTGGATAAAGGTATTTGGATTCAATTATCGGGTTTGCCGTTCGAATATTGGAATCCCGAATCTCTTTTTTGAATTGTGTTGTTTATTGATTGTTCGCTGAGACTATACAAATATCCATCGGCCTGAGACGAAGAGAAAGGTCTATCTATTTTCTTTAGTTATTCAGTTAAACCAATGGTTTGTAATTGGAGTAGATAGCAACAAGTATTTCATCGGACATGCATATTTTTGATTGTCCGATGGATGTACATAATTGAATAAACCCGAGATTTTTTCTTTATCTTTTCCATCAAAATTACTTATTTATGTTGTGCCAATCCAACACAAATCCTTATTTTATTTACTTTAGTTATTTGTGAGTGTGTATGTATGTGTGTGTATATATATATATATATATATATATATATATATATATATATATATATATATATATATATATATATATATTAGAAGGGTTTCGTATTGTGGATTTCTAATGTGAAACATTTTTTTTCTTTTAATATCTAGAATTAGTTAATTTGAATCATGAAAAAGAACTGATCTTAAGGTATATTGTCTGTTCTAAGTGATTTGGTCATATGAAATTTAAAATAGTTTTAAAATATTCTTCTCTTGATGTAGTTGTCATCTTGCATTGGGTGAAATTGAAGATGCCTTGAAGCATTTCAAGAATTGCTTACAATCAGACAATGAGGGAAGTTTAGACCACAAAATCTTTGTGGAGGCTTCTGATGGTCTCCTGAAAACTCAGGTTGGTCTTAGTCTACTTCTTGTGGTGTATCTTTTAACATTTGAGACTATGCACAGCTGTTTTCTTTAAGCATGGAAATATTAGTTTTTGAATGACTTCTGCACCTGTATATGATTGAACTTTTTGAAAATGTGGTAACTCAGAGATATTATCCTATGCCTGCAATTATTTATTGCTTGCCAGATGGTGAAAGTCCCAATTGATAACAATTTTTGCAGGTATGGTTTTTAGTAACTCGTCTGCATAAATTGTTATCATCGCAGTATGTGATACAAATAATGTAATGCCAAATTTTATAATTGCTTCTCCAGAAAGCAGGAATTTTACATTGAATTTGAAGATCTTCACATATTTTTATCATTTATTTGCCAAAATATATAAGGAAAACTAGCAACTCTTGTCAGCAAGTCGATGGTTTTTAACAGTCATGTAGATGCACAATACTTGGATCTTAATGGCCAATGTTAAGTGTCTTATCGTTTGCCAAGCGCATGCTATGTTTTACATTTAACAACTTTTTTATTTGAATCATTTGATCGGTTTGCTTGCTAAATTGTTATACGAGCTCCTAGAGAAGCTGAACAATAAACTGAAGGATTAACAATATAAAACATTTTTTTAACAAGATAAGCCAAGTGATTGGATCACTGATTCTATGGACTTGCCAGTTGGTGCAGCTAGTGTCTGTTAACATTCTTGTGATTGAATTTATTAGTATCTCATGTAAATTATAAGTTATACAATAGTAATTTAGCTACCTTCTGTTTCCTCTTATTGCTTTTCGTAATGCTAAAAGTTGAAAAATATTTAAATCAAGGTATATAGTTTCGAATGATACCGCCTGGTACGAGCGATATGTATCGGTCCAACAAGAAACCGGTATACGTACCGCTCGCTACCGGGCGGTATTATATATATATATATATATATATATATATATATATATATATATATATATATATAAAGGCGATGTCGTCTCATTTTTCTTGCCCCACCTGGGGAGAAGAGAGGCGACATCACACATTTTTTTAAATTTTTTATATATATAATAGATATATAAATAAAAGATTATATATATATATATATATATATATATATATATATAGGCGACATCGCCGAGGCTTTTCTGCGACGTCGCCTCTCTTCTGCGTTGCCTTGCTTGGGGAGAAGGGAGACGATACTATATATGTCCCTTCTCGCGTGGGGGAGAAGGGAGGCAATGTCGCCGAAATTTTTTTTCCTTATATATATATATACCAAATGGTATACCGCTTGATATATAGTACCGTATCGTACCGAGAGAAGGTTGAAACTCCGGCACGATACGATATTTTAATCCTTGATTTAAATAACAAAAGTAGTACAAAATTAAATTTATAGTGTTTGTGTAATTTCAAATTCATTCAAGAATTATGACCTAGTAGTTATCGATGTTCTTTGGTAAAACCTATATTATTGAAGGAGCTAATCCTTAGAATATTGTTTCCTTTGTTTTAAACCGAGTCACATTTGTATTATACATATTCCTACAACTAATTTTGCAATTATAAGATATAAGAGGTCATATCTTGCTTGCATTCAATGGCATATTAAGAATGGATTATTTTGTTTGCTTTTTATGCTAGTTATAGTGCTAACTTTCCCCTCCCTATGCCACCACCACCTTTTGTTCTTTTGTGCATTTGATGTCTGATACTGTCTTTATGAAACAGCAAGTTGCTGATTACATGGTTCAGTCTGAGGAACTTATGCTGAAAAAATCATCTAATGAAGCAGCAAAGGCATTACAGATAATCATTGAGGCCCTATTTATATGTCCATATTCAGAAAGATTGATGGAAAGAAAAGCAGAGGCTTTTCTAATGGTTTGTATTCCTTCTCTTTTTTAGTATATTAGTTCACATTAAGACCAATTGAATGATAGATACATGTATCAGAGAGCCTGAATACATGAATTACAACATCCTCCATCGACATCTAACAGAACTATGTCACATTGATCTTTTATTAATTCTATTGTTCTTGGACCTGGCAGTTGCGGAGATACAAAGAGGTGATTGTTTTCTGTGAGCAGACCATTGAAATTGCTGAAAGAAATTATGCTCTGTGTAGAGTCAGCACAGATAATTCTGAAGACATGCAAAGTTGTCCCATGAGGCTCTGGCGTTTGAATCTTATGTCCAAGTCTTATTTCTATTTGGGGAGATTTGAGGAGGCAGTTGAGTTACTAAAGAAGCATGAAAAAGTGACATATAAAGAAGACAAGTATTACTCTAAGTCTCAATATCTAATACACCTTTTGGCATTCTTATCATAGTTAGCACATGTTTCTTGAAGTTTTATTTGTAATATACTACATTATAATTACCAGGAACGTTAATGGGTCTTCAGAATCTCTGGCATCATTGTGTGGCACCATAAATGAACTCTTACGTCTTAAGGTAATTCTACTATTTCCATTTTAGCCTTTAAGACTGGTCCATGGGATTAAGGCTTTAAAGAACTTCTAACAGTAGTCTACTTGTGTAACTTCTAAGGAAATTTACTTGCATCAATGACAAAACAAGTTGGTGTTTGGTTTGGTCTGTTGATTTTGTTCCAACACCCAACAGAAATACTAAAACAAAGTCTTGTTTATGTTTTGCTGGTCGTGCCCAAAGAAAAAGTGTAACCTCATGCCTTTCACTAAATGCATCAATTTGGTTTAGTGCCTTTGTGGTGGCGATCATATAATGCCATGCATGATGAAGAAAAATGAATTTATTCTTCGCAATGAAGATGTTTTTGGCAGGGAAATGGAAGGTCTAAAGCCCAATGTTAAAATATAAGATGAAGATATGAGATCCATTTTGCCGTGTAATTTCTTCAATGATATTACAGTTTTTAAAACAATTAGCCCATTAATATTGAGGACAGGATAAACTCTTATATTTCTCATTTGCTCAATTTGCACTTTTTCCTTCACAGGCTGCTGGGAATGCAGCTTTTCAAGCAGGAAGACATCTGGATGCAGTAGAACATTATTCTGCTGCTTTAGCATGCAATACTGAGTCACGTCCTTTTACAGCAATTTGCTTCTGTAACCGTGCTGCTGCTTATCAAGCCCTAGGCCAAATTACAGATGCCATTGCAGACTGTAGTATAGCAATCGCCCTTGTTGCCAGTTATGCAAAGGTTGGTTATGTATTTTTTGCTCACAGATGCTCTTTTTATTTTGAAATTGAAAATTTTGGTTGATTTGCTCTGGTGTCCACATCAAGTACATATGCTATTATGTGGACTGCTGCTGGTAGGATATCAGCATGGTACATAGGTTTGTGTCCAACAGTACATGGATTTGGTTGGGCTAATCTGCCTCATCCGTGTAGTATAGCTAGCACTTGCTGGCATAAATTAGTATGGTTTCATAAGGTATTAACATCTTGGGTTCACATGATTCACACAAGCGTGTCTTAGTAGTGCATTTCATCACATAGTCCTATAGTAGCATATTGCATTGGAAAGAACAGTACATTCCTCTATCGAGATATCTTGTACTGAAGATAATTTTTGAATTGTGCTTGGTTCCTGGCACTCCAAACTTGCCATTTGTCATTTGTTGGATACATGCTCATTTTGTTGATGGGTTAAATTGTTTACACTGATGTATTTTTTTTCAGAATAGAAAACATGCTATTTGATTATTAACAAAAAGTAATATAACCTAATAGTTCTGAGACTTCTGACCAAATAATTCTGCCATGGCTTAAATTAATCTCGATCTGATTTTATCTGAATTTCATTGAAAGTTTGGCTTGAAACTTTTTTTAACTTTTCTTTTTTGTCTAACTTGGTAACCTTAAATAATCAGACTTCTTGAACCATTCTCTTCTTCCTTACATTTCATATGTTGTGAATTTTTGAGCTTCATGTTTATGCTCTCTTTATTTTCTAAAAAAGAACAGTATTTCAATTAAGGTCTAATGAATAATTGATCTACATTGTTGGCATGGTCATTTAGGAACATAATTGTTTTCTGAGAACTGAGAAAAAGGATAAAGCACCAGGCTTATTAAATAATCAATAAAGTTGAAATGATAAACAATAAATTTAAATCAGTGAATAGCTCTGATTTAGCCATAAATCATCACATTGGGTTTTGAAGCAGCCACAGCACCTTATGGAAAAAGTTGGTCATTTTCACTTATTGACTCTTTGTTAATATTGCAGGCAATTTCAAGGAGAGCCACCTTGCATGAGATGATCAGAGACTATGGCCAGGCTGCTAATGACCTCCGCAGACTTATCTCTCTTCTGAAAAATCAATCTAAGGATAAAGACAGTCAAGCTGGAGTTTTGGGAATAAATAGTGGCAATAATGATCTAAACCAGGCCCATGTTCGTCTTCATAGTGTGGAGGAGGAAGCCAGAAAGGAGACTCCTCTAGATTTATACATGATACTGTAAGTGTTTGGTTTATTTTAACTTATAATTTGTTAGTTATTCTTCTGATGAAAGCAATTTTTTTGGACCATCTCAGTTTAACTCTTCTATCTAGATTCTTTGCTGTGCCATTCACAAATGTTAAATAAGAGCATACTCCAGTTTTACTGGAATCATACCTGACAGCAGTTGGACCTTGCACATGCTTATTTATGTAAAAGAAGCACAATTCCTGCCCAATAATTCTATTATGTAAGTACTTAATAGATAAGTTGAACATCACTTATACCATGCAGTCAGGTTGGAAAGGCTGGAAGTCGTTACATGAAATTTAAATATTATTTGTTGTGTTAAGTGAAATTTTAAATTGCTCACCTGCATGGGGCTGTGAAAATATTTATTAGTGATCTATGGGTCAGATAAGAGAAACATGGTTGGACTAGGCTGTAGCTGAGTAAAGCTTGATGGGTTAGATGGGAGTCTTTATCCTGTCTTCGGTTGTAAAGCCTGGTTACAAGCTGGAAGGTTCCAGAATTGGATTGCTAAAATCTAATTGGTTATAACAGATATATTGTTTTTCACTGGTCAAATGTTTTTCAATCAAGTATTTTTTTTCCCTTATGTTGTCTCTGATTTCAACTTATTGATTCTAGCTTTTCTGTAGTTGCATTGGTATCACATTTTGGTATCTTGTTAAATCTTGTTCAAGTTGTCTTCAGTGTCATTAGGTCGTCTCTTTTTTAAGGCTATTCATTTGCAAAGTTTTAAGCTATTGAGCAATGTTGCTTACGAGTTAATTTTGGAATAATCCTTATGGTTTCATGTTTGCAATTGCTTGCTTGGCGCATGCAGAGGAATTGAAGTATCTAGTTCTGCAGCTGATGTAAAAAAGGCATATCGAAAAGCTGCATTGAGACACCACCCAGACAAGGCTGGGCAGTTATTGGCCAGGAATGAAACTATTGATGATGGTTTTTGGAGAGAAGTGGCTGATGAAGTTCACAAGGATGCTGATAGGTTATTCAAGATGATAGGAGAGGCATACACTGTTCTTTCAGATGCGACCAAGGTATATACTTAGCGAGTTTTATATGTTTAATATATTCCTAACTCTCACTTTACAAACCTTATGGTAAAATGTCTACTAGAAAACTAACAATGTTTCTAGGAGAATAAAATGTAAGCAGTGGTAACAAAGATATCTATGGGATTAAACCCTTTTTATGTATTTGTGACATGAGATGGCTAAGGATGGTTTAATTGAAGAGTTATTAGGTATGTTGCAGATGCAATGTTGTTTTTTATTGACAGTGCCAACTTTACACATTCAATAGGATGAAAACAGAGGGAAAACAAGGATTTGACAAAATTTAAAGATTGATGATAAATAAGTAATTAGTTTCATTCTATATCCTGCTACATGGAAGTACCAGAGGCTGCATAAAAGTTATTGGACATCATGATCCGATATAGATGACATCCAGAAGGCAATATTGGTATTAGGATGCCATTGACACTGCTTTCAATCTACACCCAAAAAGCAACTTGATTTAGTAAATTGGGAGAGGATAGAACTATAAATTAGTCTCTCTTTATTTTTGGCATGGATGTTAACTGGTTACTCTTGTGGGTTTGTCTTCAAAAGCATATCTCGTTTGTCTTCTCTTGTTGCAGCGCTTACAATATGATGCCGAAGAGGAGTTAAGGACCACCTTGAGAAAAACCTGTGGTGGGAGATGCACATCAAAAACCCAAGACAATCACAGCAGTCCATCTGAGAGGCGTAGGTGGCGAGCATATGCAAGCACACATCAGAGGTGGTCAGAATCTTCACGATATTACAAGTGATTTTATTCAAAGAATTACTAACAGCCGGGCCCTTACGTGCAACTCTGATGAAATTTTTGTTGGGTGCATTCGATCTTTACCTTTGTCAAAGCCAAATCAGTGCTACAAAATGGTGTGAACAAGGTTGGTGAAAGCTTAGCTGATATCTAAATCAGTGACACGATAAAAAGACTGGGTAACCAGTGAATCATGCTGTCTGACTGGCAGCAGAATCCATGGCCCCATAAATAGATTTTTTGGCCGCCCATCCCAACTCCAGCAATCATTTGATTGTTCATGGCAAATTGGTTGTTGTAGAGAGAGCGATGATGGTCTTACCAAGAAGATGAATGCGGTTTTAGAGTGTTGTTTTTTATTTGTACTGCTTGTTCATCCTCTGCTGGTGAGGTTTTGCTTGTAGTTCTATCCCAGTATTTTTTTTTTTTGTTGTTACATCATCATGTGGCAACAGAAATCACATGAGGTGCGAACAAAACAATATAGCATGACATTATTGTAAATTGAGGAAGTATATTCTTGACATTTTTGATGTTTATCAATCCAATCAAGCATCGATGATGGATTAGGCATTTCAGTTTCACTTGATGTATAATTTAATTCAGCAGTAGCATTAGTTGGTATGATTTTTCATTTCTCGATATCATCAGAGCCAATTACTTACTGAAATTAACATCATATTTGTAGGGCATTTTGTGAAAGTTAACCCCTCTTTTTTTGAATTGCTGGGAAAGAACTGTTTGTTTTTTTAATTCCTGGATTGAGTTACAAACCTTCAAAAATATTGAAATTCTCTTTCTCTCCACTGTTTTCTTTTTTCCTCGTTCTGGTACAGTAGTATACATATATTTCTCAAAATAATCTCCACTTCATTAATTAGGGAATACTAATCATATTGCAAACTTTAGTGGAAGCGTCCAACCAGTGAGACAATCCATTAATTCATTCTTCTTGACGTGTTAGCAAGTTTATGGGCTTGAAAATAGCTATCTTAAAAACTATTTAGCCTTGGCTTGTAACTCATCATCTCATTCCTTGGAAATCCAATTCAATTCAAGAAAAGGTACCTATCACAGAATCAAGCTTGTCCCGAGTACATATGTTTTACTAATTATCACAGAAACTATTACTTAACAACCATCATTTACGTCTGAGAGATCCCACGTTGCCATCCCGTCCTTCAAAAGAAATAGTTGACTTGGGGATTGACATTGAGATTCCATCTCCTCCTCCGGTCCTTCCATCAAGCTTCGAGTTCCGCCATGGCTGCTGCAATTCTGTCACTCCTTGACAACGAAGTAGCAGAGTGATACTTGGAAAATAGGTAAGAGCCAAAAACTACAAATAGGATTTTCAATTGTGATACATGTGCTAAGATGGATTAGCAATTGATCGATTGAAAAAGACACGAGAGTGAATGAGAAAAAAAATATATAAATAGGATATTCATTTCATGACATCAAATCAGACGATCCTCAATCGATACTCAATTACTCTCGTATGGTTAGTTGTCACTCCTGATAATCGACTGTGTTAGATTTGAAACTTCAAGAACTATAAATCTGATATCAAAGAATGAAGTATTCATACAGGACATCCTTGATATCTCAAGTCTAACGATTAGATACACAACTAGAACAACCGTAAACTACTTTATTTCCCAACAGAATGCCAATCGAAAGTCTAAGAATGTCCATCGACTCTTCTTTCATTTAGTTGTCACTTCCAAGTAGATTCGCATCATTTTCGCTTTCGATTGGTATTTTGTTGGGAAATACCGGAATCTATCCCTCCTAAATACCTGTCTCGTTCAAGCAATATCTCTCTTCGCTTCTTTCTCTCTGAAAGTTTCAGAGACCACCATCCCCTTCGGACTACTCCGATTTGCTGAACAAACTGTGCATTGTTCTGCCTCCTGTAAACGCACTTGCTAGATTGTGACTCCACATCAATATAGCCCCCGTTGCACTACTTAAGGCCTAGCAACATGCTGAACTCGCTGTACACTTCAGCTCCTATGGACGTATCCTTCACATGCCAAAGAGAAAGTTTTAATGTTCTATGGCGCTGAGTTTCGGTCGCCTTGGGATGGCCGCGAACATTCCATCGTCCGCATACAAGCCCATGCATGAGTATCGAATTCTTCGAGTTAGCAATTCCCCTCACCTTTGTGAGCTTTGCATAACTCTTTCGGTCGCTGAGCAACTTATTCTACTTTGCATGGTCTCATCCTTTACCAAGCGCCTTACTTGCCTTGAGCATCATCAAGTATAGTTGTCAATGTCAAGCCGTAGCTCAGACTCAGCCATCCCAAACTTTGTGCGCTCCACATTCTTCCAAGCTTGCTTGTTCTCATGGTGCCTCTTGCCCGAAGGGTTAGCCATTCCTCTGAATGTCAATCTCAGATGCCCGCTCATCTGAGCGACTCCTTTTCCCTACATCTCCATGCCCGTTTTCCCCCAAATGGTCATGCGTGTGCTGACTACCCTCAACGCAGCCCTGCAAGGTCCCCCACATTTGCATGCCAAGTGTTTCTATGAGTGCTTGTCCTGCTCTGATACCATATGTCACGGACTTAGTTGGTTTTGCCTAAGTCATACGGAACTCTTTTGTATCTGTTTGTAAAGGTCAGCCTCCCTGAAACCTCCCGTGGTCCTTTAGGACCTACAAATGAGAAAATGGGTTAGAGAAAGCGTCTCACTTGGAATGTACAATCAAACATTCCAAGAAACACTTCATAGACAATACAAATTATAAACAGATTTTACAAGCTCTGAACGGTTGCACAACAAAGGAACAAAATGGTCCACTACAGATCAAATATCTCTCACAAGTGTTCACATGACACAATCTTTATTTACAAGCCTAAAAAGACCACCAAACCCAACTAAAATGAGGTTTTTAAGCCTTTAACCGTCCCTCTACATGCTGTATACGAATATATATAAATATTACATCAAATATCCTATTTAGAACTTTATCCGTGAAAATACGTCCCTAGCTGAGTAGTACGGTGAAATGTAACTCGGAGAATTGGTTTCGATCTCTAAACCTTCCCAAGCTCTCAGGGACTGAGAACTCTTCATGTGCGTCAGAATGTACCTGCACTCAGAACGCTGTGCGTCGACAACTGTCCAAAACTTTTAGAAGCCAGTGGACTGCATCATCTTTCTTCCCTTGTAAGCTTACAGATATCCAATTGCCCTCAGTTTTATATCAAAGAGAAACTTCCATCCCATGTTCAAGTATTGTTATATCCATCTGAGCAAATGCAGAGAAGAAGCATATCAGTCTCCAGGTAATAACCGAATTTATCCAGCATTAGTTTATCGTCTGCAAACCTTCACTCTAGAAACGTTTTTGAATTCTAGTCATGTTAAATCATCTAAGAAGATGTCAAATCAAGGATAAAATAATAGTCTTAATAGTGGAATGTGATTGTGCTTTACGGAGGCCTATTTACCACTAGAATACTTCCTTAGAGCTCTTTTTGCCAATAGAACAGAACAGATTGGAACCTTACTTTTGTTTGAACCCTTGAATGACTATTTATATTTAACCAGACATAAAGTTCCACCGTCGTCAGCTAGCTCAGACAGTTGAGCTTATGAGAGATATCCCTGTAGGTCGGGAATTTGATCCCCACTGTGGCACCTCTGTGCGAATGAATGCCTAGGGCATCATGTAACACACGGAGAATTCATCATCCGTCTTACCATGAGGAAAATGCAACTTGGATGCTAGATTTCCTTCTTTAAGCCTTCCCATGCTACACGAGTAGGTAGTTCAACTTCTTAGGGACTGAGAATTCTTCATTTGCATCAGTATCAACCTGCACTCGAAATGCTGAGACTTGAGAATTGTCCAAATGCCATTGGACTGCATCACTTTTGTTCACTGACTGTCATCCCATGTTCAAGTTTGTTCTTTGTTGTTTGAGCAAATGCAAAGAAAAAGGAATATGCATCTCCAGGTAACATCAAAATTTATCCCGCGCTAGTCTATCGTCTGCAGAGCATCACGCTGAAGCAAACAAACATGCCACTGTCACCATGTTAAATCATATTAGCGAATGTCAGATCAAGGAGAAAATGTTGTCTTAGTATTTGACTGAAGATTTTACATGGAGACCTATGCACTGCTATGGTACTTCACACCTCTATTTGATAATAGCCTAGCTAAGTACTGGAAACAGTATATACTTACGTAGCTTTTGCATGAGAAAAAGTAAAATCATGATTGAAACCCAAGACGTGTGTAAACTACATGTAATTCACAAATCATTTCTAGAACTGAGTTGGAGAAAAGTAAGATTGATCAATCGAGATGTAATTGCTGTATATGATTGATGACAAATCATAGCTAGACACAGTAGTTATTCAAGAACAACTTACTTGGTGTTACTTTTGCAGTGACAGAACCGATAATTACACACGGGAGGGGCCTTTGTTCTCTGGACTCTCTCTTGTTCTCTGAACTCTCTCGTTGACTACAAATACCAGACTGCCACTTGGCAAATATGGCAAAGATGGTAAATTTTTAATTCCCCTATTACATGGCAGTTCCAACTCATCAACTTGATGGTGCTTTTATAAACTCCCGGGCATATTAAATTTGGAGCCTAATTTAAATTACTGAACACTATAAAAAAGAAATTTATTGAACACTATGATATATCAAGAAGGTTTGTCAACCTAATTTCTTTGATGATATTCACAGCTTCTAGGAACAATTAGCCCATTAATTTTAACCCATTAATTTTAAGGACACGATAAAACTCTTGTACTAATTTGTAGAATTTACATTTTTCTTATTTGCAGGCTGCTGGGAATCACGTCCGCCAGATTAGACATACCATTGCAGATTGCTGTATTAGCAATCACAATTGAATGCAGTGATCCAAAAGTTGCTCGTGTATTATTTGCGGACTTATATACACACATTTTGTTGACGGGTGAAACTATTTTGCTGATAAGCCTTGAAGATAAATACAAACATTAAATAATGTAACCAAGTAGTTCTTTCCGTAGCTTTACTTTGAGATTGATCTGATTGTATCTGAACCTCTTTCAAATATTGGCTTGAACTCACTCAGCAGTTCCTTTCTTTTTTTTTTTTTGAAGTTCTTTACTGATTGGTTAAACAATAAAATTCAAATGATGAACAGTACTTATTTGCATTTGCTTTAAATGTAAGGCAAGCAAATAAATTTAACAGTATCAGTTGTGGTTAATCTTTACCAGTTGACGGTCTGCGTGATTACGTTCAGACTCTTCAATTAATAAATTTCATATTTAAATATTTATATTTAAGAAACAAGGAATCCAATAATTAGTGAAAGATAGATATGTGAAATGATTGAAATTTAAGAAATAAGGGATGTTTTAAATACTTAAAATTTTATTTTATTTTCAAATTTATGGATAACCATAGTTGTGGTGTTTAATTTAATTTGTTGGACGAATG